TTGTTTTGTGGGACAAGTTCCAGTGGGTTCGTGTGGGGTAGGGATGGATGTGGAAGTCAACTGGATATTTGTGTTATGACCAAACTAAACCTTCTGTTTCCCCTCCAGCCTCTTAAAAACCTCCTCCTCATTCAGTGTTTACAGCAAGTCCTTAAATAATATTGTTTTTTCCAATGTTGTTTTGTTATAACATTGAGGAGATGCCACATTGATGTTAAGTTCTCATTGATGAGAACTTAACTCTTGTTTGTATCAATTAGCCTACGGTAAAATTAGTTTTATTGTATTTTTTTTCGCTTAAAGGCACAGAACCTATCAATGACATTGGGTGTCATAATTATACATATCTGTACAGACAAATACATATATGTGTGGAGATAATAATAAAATAAATTTTTAGATCTCTTAATATGATCTAATTACATCAATAAATTTCCTAATATTGAAACATCCTTGGTAATTTGGAATAAATTACACTTGGTCATGGTGTAGTAATATTTTTAATATGCTGTTGAATTCTATTTGATGATTATTTTTGGGGATTTCAAAATCAAGATCCATAAGCGAGGTTAGCCCATACTTTTCTTTTTGTTTCTTCTATCTTTATCAAGTGTAGGCTTCAATGTTATACTCAGTTTATTAAAAGAATTAGGTCATTCTTCTCATTATTTCCCCTAGCCTCTGGAATAATTTATGAAGCATATTATTTACCCACTCTTTGAAAGTTTGATAGATGTTCCATGCGAAACCATCTGGATCTATACCATTTTATGAGTTGGTTCTTTAATACGTTTGAATACTTCTTTTATGGAAATAAGTTTTTTAAAACTTTTTATCTCTACTAGTGACAATTTTTAAAAATTGTATTTAAAATTGTATCCATAACTCTTAGATTTTAAAATATTTTTATTCAGCACTTTCAGCAGTCTCAAATTTGTTTTAATTCACCTGTTTCAATGGTTATTTCCCAACTAATTTTATTTTATATATAAGGCTGGGAAAAGTAGGTTTATAGATGTAATACAAATAAATAATACAATAATTAAGAAATAACAATACAGGAATAAACTCTGTTTTGTGCACTCACAACGGTAACTCTGCTCAGCCTGTATTGTTTACTTTTATTCTTTGCTTAAGTTGGCTAGTGCTGTTCTATTTTATTACTTTTTATAAAGTCCTAATTTTGATTTATTAGTCCTACAAATTAATTTTTTCTACCCAAAGTAGTTAAAGATTTTAACTTTATTATTATTATTATTTTCTGAGAGTTTAACACAATGTTAATGGGTCTTGAATTTCATTAGGTGTGTTTGCTACATTTATTGAAACAAGCATATTAATTTTATTCTGTTTATTTCTGTTAGTGTTGTGAATTACATTGATTTGTAAAACATAATAAACCATCCAGAAATTCTTAGAATGCACCTGTTTGTATTGTTATATTTTTCTTATATATTGCTAGATTTGATTATTGATCTTTTGTATAGGATTTTTCACCTCTGTCCATTAATCAGATTGGTCTTTTCCTTTTCTATAAAATCTTTGTTAGATTTTTGTATCAATATTATCCTGGTCTCATAAAATGAGCTGGGAAATATTCCTTATTTTTTCCTTATTTTGAAGAGTTTATGTAATGTTGATGTCTTTTCTTCCTTCAATGTTTAGAATAATTCACCTGTTAAGCCATCTGGGCCTGAAGTTCTTTCTGGAAAATTTTAAAAATAACACACCCAACTTTGAGAGTACAAAGAGGACTATTAAGATTTTCCTATTATTTGTGTCTATTTTAGTAATATTTTTAAAAGAGTTTGTTCATTTCATCTAATTGCCAAATTTGTAAGGCATACACTTTTATGCAGCACAGAGGTGGGCAAGAGTAGCTTCATAGTTTGTGAGTATGCTAAACACAGAGTTAATAAAGCTATTGTAATAATCATAACCCACATGTATTTTTTCTGTATGAACAACTGTAAACCTACTTTTGTCCACCCCTGTATGTTCTTATTATACTTTTATTGTTTGTAAAATCTTTAGAATTTTCCCCTTTTATTATATATTAGAGGCCCAGTGCATGAAAATTTGGGGTGGGGGGTCCCTCAGTTTTGCCTGCACCCTCTCATAGTCCAAGAGTCCTCAGGGGATGTCTTACTGATGTCTGGCCTCCCTCTGCAGGAGGTGACTGGACAGGCAATCAGGGGATGGTGCCCCCTCATCACCCTGCCATTGCCACCCGGCCTCCCTCTGCGGGAAGTGACCAGATGGGCCTATCAGAGGATGGTGCTGCCCCCCTATTGCCCCTCCGCCGTTGCCACTGGTTGCAGCCTCCCCTTCCCTGCAAGGACGTTTCCTCCCTCTGCCCACTGGCATGAGCCTTGGCTGGCCTGGCACAGCCTGCTCATTGGCCCCACCCCCTGCCAACTGGTCATTCGGCAGTTTGGTCGATTTGCATATTACTCTTATTATATAGGATACTGGTAACTTTTTCTCTCTTTTCTTTTTCTTGCCTAGTCTTGCTAGGAACTTATTAATTTTACTAATCTGGTCAAAGAACAAACTTTTGGCTTTCTTCATTTTTATTGCCAATTTTTGTGTATTTCATTATTTTTTCCTATCTTTTTCATTTCCTCTTGTTACTGTTTGAGAGTTGATGTTCTTTTATTTCAGTTTTTTGAGGTAAAAGTTAAGCTATTGTTTTTCTCATGTTCTTTTTTTCAGTTTTTTGAGGTAAAAGTTAAGCTGTTGTTTTTCTAATTTCTTCTTTTCTAACAAATGTATTTAAAGCTATCTTTTGCCCTTAAGCACTGCTTTAGTTGTATCTCCCGTTTGTATTTACTATACTTTCATTATCATAGAATTCAAAAGTATTTAATTTTATTTAACTATGATCTCTTCTTTGACCCATGGGTTATATAGAAGTGATTGCTTAGTTTCAAGCAGTTGTGAATATGTAAGGTATATATTTTTTTTAAATTTTTAGCTTAATTCCACTGGGTCAAAGATTATACTCTAAATAATTTCAATCATTGAAATTTATTGAAGATTTTTGATCCAGCATAAGTCAATCTTGGTAAACATTTAAAGTGTACTTAAAATATTAATTTTATTATTCCTAGGTGCAATATACTATAAATGTTGAGTGTATTTAGTTGATTGAGTTTATCAGATTTTATTGATTTTCCTATCAATTTGCTCTGTGAGCTCAGGCACAACCATCTGGACTACCTTCGGACAACTGTCCAGATGACCTTCCAGATGAAGCCGGGCTGCGAGGCGCTGCGAGGGCTGGTCGGGGCTGTGAGGGATGGCGGGGGCTGAGCTCCTTGCACGAATTTTGTGCATTGAGCCTCTAGTATTGTGCCTGGCATGGCAATGGACATAAGACTGACCCAAGATACTGGACAATGCAGGATGGGGAGATAGGGTACAGGGCATGATGGTTACTTAAATGCCAGCAGGTGCCAGGCAAGTGAGATGCGTAAGTAAAGTGGGCCAGGGGAAAGTGCCTACTGTGTACATTACATGGGTGTGGGTATATGAGCACATATAAGTGGGCAGTGTGTGTGTGTGTGTGTGTGTGTGTGTGTGTGTAGGGGGCACAATAATGAGCTGTGACTCTTCAAAAGGAGGCAGCTGGTATTCCTCTCCAGAAGGGATTTGTTTTGTGGGTCTAATGTTGCCTGGTGTCCTAATTTTTCAGGAGAAGCCAGAAAACAATGCATTTATATAAAATATCATGAGTTTGCAACGTTGGCTCAAAATGTTAACAACATGAAGCAATGCCTGGGTGCCAGAGTTGGGTTGTGGACTTCAGGCTCAGGAAGAAGAGATGTTTGGAAGGAGTGGGGGCAGGAAGAAGCGAAAACAGACAACAGTAAAGAAGCTTGAAAGTTTTATTTAAGTATGTCTTTGATATATTGAAAGATGAGCATTTTTATGACAAAAGTTTCAAGAAGAAAGTTTTCTTTCCAGTTTCACCACTGTGACTACCAGCCCAATCCTTATTTTAATGCAGAGAGGCTGTGATTGGAATAATTTACATGTGCAAATTATATCATAGAAACCAATTTCATTGCTAACTATAAGCAGGTTAGTGTACTTCATCCAAAATAAGAAGAAAATAAGAGACTTTTCACTTTTATATTTTAAAGCTGATATTTTAGCAATAGTTTGACAATGGTTTATTCCATTTATACTCTTTTGGCAACACAGCCTTAAAAGACAATCTATTCATTGTCATGCAAAGCAACATGGCTTCAGAATACACCTCTTAAATTTACAGAACTTAAAATTTCTAGCATCCCCTGTGGCTGCTAGGTGATGTTATGAAGATGATCTTGAGCAGTGACATACTTACTTCCTAAAGATAAAAGAAAAAGACAGTCATATAGCAGAACTATCATACTCAGATGATGTAGTTAAATTATCCGGGAAATATTTTAAAGATTTATTTTGGTAAAAGCTGTTTATTAATCTTTTTGTCTTCTGAATCCCTTAGTCTTTTGAATTTTTCAAATATTTGCATTCAAAGATGACATCCTAAAATTCCCTGATCAAAGAATATAAAGGATATAAGTAGTTATAAAAAGCCATTATAACCCATCAAGATAAGTGGTTACTTTTGGTGTTTAGATTTTTATTATTATCCTTATTACATTACGTACATAATACCAAATTTATTTGTGCTAAAAATTCAAAATATGTAGCAATATAGAATGTCACATTATCAGGTGAATGATGTATATTTCCATGTTTTATTCTTATCTGTGTTCCTAATGCCCTGTCCCTTAATTGATACTTGGGAAATATTTTTCGAGTAAGTGGGTGAATGAGTAAAAGTGTAATTATCTAAAACAAATATAACGATGTATTTTTCAATGAGTCATACTTTTGCTTATCTACCAAGGAAGCAAAGACTCCCCTCCCCACACAAGGAACACCCTGTAGCTGTATGATACAAAGTATGAAAGCTTTGGCGGTTTTCAGAATGCACTAAAATGCAATCACCTGTCGGTAATTTTGTTTTGCAGCAGCCAGTTTATAAAGTCCTGGGTGGCAAGATTATCCAGAACTGTGTTCATCTCATCAGAGAAAGAGCCTTCGGCATGTCTGCGGTGGAGTGCTTCAGGAAAGGCTTCTGGGAGGCTGAGGACACAGGGGATAAAAATCGGTATTTGGTTAAAGGCTTTAAATAAAGGCTTTCTGACTGCGTATCACTGGTGACGTGTGCGGATCACTGAGAAAACAGGACGTTCTATTTACCGAGGGCCGACTGTGGGAACCTGCATGAACGGGTGCATATCAGAATGGACCATCCGGAGGTAGTGAAGAGCAGAGCAGGACGGGAAACCCAGCCTATATAACTTCCTGCCTTGGGCAGTGGTCCAGCTGCTCCAGAGATTTTGGTGTATTGGCCACACAGAAGTTACTATTGAGACTATGACTTTGTTCAAAATTCAGAAAAATGTAAAACTAGTGGTTATTAGAACAGCCTTGCAAAGTGCAGTAGTAAGGCATTAAACTTTAATCTTTATTAGATTTTCTTTTTTATTAGTTTAATTAGCAGCATTTTTTGGTGCCCCTTTAAAATATTATAAAACATCCTCAAGTATCAGTGACTTTTTTACCACTGATTTTGTAAATGGGATCACCAATGTTTAAAAAAGCCGTGACAATATCAGGTTATTAGCTAAATAATAACACAATCCCTTTTGTCTTAAGATTTCTCCAAGTCCCAGTAAGCTTGTTTGAAATCTCACAAAAAAATTGAGTTAAACATGAATTTCCTGCTTCTTATAATTCAAATGTCAAGCAAAATGGCCAAGAGAAAATAAGATGCTTCAGGGGTCTGTTTGGTTGTGGTAAGATCCAAGAAGGTACCTAAAGGGCTTAGTCTTATTTTCAGCTGTGAAACTTTAATGGCTATTTATAGGACAGCCCCATAAAAAATGGGGGTATTGTTAAATGTATGGATGTCTGCACATATTTATATTTTGAGTGTCATTTCATTAAACATCTTAAGTTTAATACCTTTCAGTCTTTATCATATTATTAGCTAAACAGTAACACAAATATATGTTGATCCCATATGTAAATACTTAACGTCAAACTTTAAGTTTTCAGCGTTATTTCTTTTTTCCTTATCCCTAGTTTTCCTAGTTTAAGCTTGTCATCCTGATGTAGCTCTCAATCGCACCTTACTCTCAAAAGTGTCTTGGATTGACAAATTAATAGCTTAATTATAACACAACTCTAATGTGGGATAAAAATACCGCCTGTCTGACTCTATCATTAATACTTGCTACTACAGATAAAACATATTAAATTCTTGTAGATTGTCTCCCACCAATAGGAGTTATTTCCTTACTTTGCGAGACTATACTAATTGCTTCTATAACTCAAATCAATAAATAGATAACTGTAGTGTAAGTTTTCAACATCATTCAAACATAAAAAAAAAAGTTAAATAAGAGTGTACAGACTTACTCTTGCCTTTCTAGGGATTTTACCAGCCAAGCAACAAATTCCTTGGCAGCTTTGCCATCCAAATAAGAACTGAAATCACTGGTAAAGGTCCCTTCAGAGTGTCTCTCAAATTCATCATGGCGTTTGGCAATGTCACCACTGAAAGAAATGTGAACGTTACATTGAAGGTCTGTCTCTTCAGCACTCTGGTTTTCACCTATAAGCAGTGGCAGCTTGGGGTTGAGGAGGCTTAGGGAGATTGAGGAGATGAGGGTAGTTAGGAGACTCATCCTGAAACTTCATGAATTATCTGAATGGACAGTTGATGGGACAGAGAAAATAGCAGTTAAGGGGAGCATTGGCCCACTCAACACACCCATTTCCACCTCTTCTGCTTATCCGTGCCATTGATTATTATGGCTGCATTTACTTCAGCCTCAGTGTCTGTGGACTCTCCACTGTGCTAAGCAGCTTGCAGACAAGGCAGCTGTTTTTTAATACTTATGGAATCAGACATAGTTAAGTGAGTCAAGAGAAACCTAGGAGCCATCTCAAAATGTCATCAAAAGAACCACATGATAATGAATGAAAGGAAACATGTGCTGGGACAGCAGTGAGGAAAGCTAAGATGATGACCTCATATCATCCTCAAATGTGATCTGTGTAGGTGGTTGACCAGCTGCCCTCCTGAATCTATTACCCCTGGAAGGTTTCATCTTAAACACACAACAGAAACCGCCAGAGAGTGAGGATTATTTTACATTAGATTACCAAATTGTAGCATTCCCTTTCCAGAAATGAGGATAATTGTTTTCTTTTTTTTCCCCAAATTTGTGACTCCTCTTATTTCACCAATGGCCATGTCTGTAGTCACTAACAGGGACTTCTCCCAGTGTCTGCTCTGAACATGACCACCATCTTTCCATCTTTCCTGTCATGTCCTCCACTTGAAGAACTTTTGGTATACCACTCTGTCTCTCCAATTCTTCCAGCGGACCCATATTCATTCTCTCTCTCTCTCTCTCTCTCTCTCTCTCTCGCAGGAGGCATCTGATAGAGATGTTTCTCACATCTCTATCTCTCTCTCTCTCTCTCTCTCTCTCTCTCTCTCTCTCTCAGCAAATCTATGTCCTTATCCTGATAATTTAGATTCCTTCAGCTACTTTGTATGCACAACTCCCTTCCCCTGTGGGCCACTCTCCAAAGAAATTGTGAAATTCCACCATCTCTGTGAAACCCTTGTGGAAGATTTCCCTCAGTAGCCTACATGCATCGTAAACCCAGCACTGTCAACGAAAATCCAACATTAAAATGTATGCCTTACGAAGGGCTTGTGCTCTTACTTGCCTTCTTCTCTCTTTATGCGGTGCAGCTAGGTTATAATTTTAAATGTGTATCTTGGATTGTATTCTACAAGAAAATGACTGCATCTGTCTCCATTCCTTACCAGGATTAACTTGGCTAGGGGTTACTTTAAATGTGATTACAGTCATGAGTTTGAACCCTACAAGGGAATGTTGAATTTGCACTTATCTTTTGGTCAAAAAAATAGATTCCTAACCGTCCATGGCTAAAAAATTCAGCTTTCAATTTTAATAGAAAATGGGTAAGAGAGTAAATATTGCTAAGACCACAGTGGGGAAAATAATTTAAAATCTACGTTTCATTACAGGGTGGGTAAGGCAATTTCAGGGTGAGAAGTGGGACTTTCAGAGGCATAATATGAAGGATAGCATCACCAACCTTGAAATCATCAAAGCTGAAAGAGCTTATATGCCCTATTTGATGAGCATAATAACATAATGAAAGTCAGGAGATATTTTAGACATCGTTAGGGAATACATTTGTGGGCAAATTTGGGGCTAGGTTTAGACTCTCACTCGGTTCTCTTGCTGGTCATCAACCACTCCACAAAATCCTGGGCACGCTTGGCGTCCAGATACTTGCTGTAGTCACTGGTGAATGTGCCCTGGGAGTGGCGCTTGTCTTCGTTTATCTGATCCCGATCGTTGCGCGAGTCCGCCTGGGGAGCTGGGAAAGAGCTGCGAAGAACAGTGATTGGTGAAACTAAGTCTCTTCTTGAGTGGACTCACTCAAGAAGCATCTTGAAAACACAAGACTGCATGAAATTGAAAGGCCGGTGCCTTGAGCATTTCAGTTGATATGAGAGACACCTTGTTTGCCACAGGAATCTCAGAGTTTTGTTAGAGTTGAATACACTCTGATTCTGAATCCTGGGAGCAGGTTTTTAACTGGTTTCCTCTTTAATGAAACAAGACCAAATAAATAGTTTTTTTAAAGTAATTAATGTACTTATGATTCTGCTAGTAATGATAGAAGAGAGCAATGAATTGACTATTTTAAAAGAGTGAAGAATCCCAAATCATTTGGGCAGCTGATCTGTGTTCTGAATTTTGTTTGCATGTGTTAATATAAAAATGTAGCTCCATTACCTGGTTACATGATAGCTGATGATGAAAAAGAAAGACACTTAAAAATTTAAAGAATGCCAAGAAAAAGCCCACTTGCTCATTTCAAACTGGGTAGTGGATAATCCACATGCCGGTAATCAACAGTTGTTTGCCATGGCAAATATGGAGAAATATTCAATAGTATTAATACTCAGAAATAAAATTGAGATACCATTCTCACCTGTCAAAATAGCAAAGATTAAATATGGGGGAAGGTATTATGAAAGGAATATTTCTATAAGGCTGATGGAAGTGTGCATGTGTATGACTTTTCTGGAAAGCAAGCTGGCAAGATATTATAAAAGACTTAAACTTATTCAAACCCTTTGACACAGTAATTTTAGTCCCAAAAATATAGCCTCAGGAAAGAGTAAAAAAATGTAGGGAGAAAAGTTATTTGCAGCATTCTTTGTGGGAAAATGTAAAGAACTCAAGTGTTCAATAGAAGAGGAATAGCTAAATAAATATTGTACATTTATGAGATGAAATAGTATGCAGCTATCACATATCATACATTTAATAGATATTTGTAGTGCTATACGAAAGAGCTAACAATACAATGCTAAGATAAAAGGCATAATATGAAGCTGTACAATGATCTGAGATATATTCTATATACA